TCCGCAATCGCAGGAGGGTCGGTGTAATGCACTACCAAACCGCCCGTAACTAAGAAACAAATGCTAATTCGATGATGCCGGCTGGCACACTGATTCACTATGAATGTAGGCCGCACCCCCTAGCGGCAGAAGCTCGTACTACATCCGGTTCGCCCTCTATTGACACAGTCTTGAAACTTTCTGATCGCACCTCGTACATTCACAGGAAACTGGTGATATTTCGTAGTATCTGACAAACTGCTGGCCATAAGCAACATTTTCTGTATCCCCACCCAGCAGCCCATCCCTACAAAGCACAGAGTCCTATTTGTTTCGAACAAGCCATAAAACCTTATCAAACATTACTTTCCTTACTGTCTCACTCGCTATAAAATGACGAATTTCCTGATTTATCGCAGTATTACTACCGCGTGTTGTCGTAACGTCCAGCTCCAAAAAAAGGCGCGGAATTGGCGACATTTTGAACCTTGTACCACCTGCTTTATCGAGGCTAACCGTGCAATTTGCCTACAAGACGCACTTGTCAGTTTCATATGATTGTCAGAGTAACAAGCGATTATGACCCCAAAACGGTATTAACCAAGCGAACTTGATAATGAAGATGTGTGTTCTCTCCGAGGTACGGAATGAGTCTTTAAATGTTACTTGGACTCTTGAGCTTTAGAGGTCTGACACTCACCCGCTGAAGACCCTACGTTTGTTGACTGGCGAACTGGTGGTCACTGTACCAGCGACGCTGCCATCGCTTGTGCCGGGTTCTGCAACAAGGAAGAACACACGACTTTCAAAACATACCAAGTCATCGAAAATTTAAAAAAAAAAAATTCCATTTACCACCTCAAAGATAATTACAAAACAGGCTGTTAAATTCCAATCTCTCAAACAAGAAAATAAAGACGTTTATACATAACATGATGCCACAAGTTAAACAGCACTAACACGACGAAATACGTAGTAACATAAATTATAAAAATTAGAACCTACAGCAAAGTCCGGTTAACTTTTAATTTCTGCACTGAATAATTTTCTTTAACAGATAAGTTATTAGAATTAACTATTTTAATTAAACAGATATACATTGCATTACGCAGTGGCCACAAACGCACAGGTTGAGAACCCCTGCCCCAATGTTAGTTACTACACAATTAATTTTCTTACACGAGGCACAAAAACACGGCGGGAGGGGAAAGGTGTTGGGTGTTGAGATTCTAGGTGCAATGGGTCAGTTAAGTAGCAAGGCTGTGCGACTGAACTTCCCCACACGCCTCTTAATCTCCTTCCTTTTATTAGTGGACTCGTCCAAATATACTGCGTGCGCATCGTGTTGACAGCAGCCACGCTTAAGTAGTTGAACTGTACATTTCACTGAATTCAAAATGACCTACATCTGCTGTACGGCGGAGACCGAACCTCGGGAGCTGCAACGTGACTTCCTGGGACGTTCCAGTTCGTTATTTGCCAATCAAACAGTGCGATAAGCAAAAGTAGACTGCGATTTAGCACACTTCAACTAATAAGCTTATCGTACTTCCTTCAGCAAGCATTTTCTTATATAAAAAACAAACGAGCAACGTTATAAAACGAGACGCACTTTAAACAGAACGGGCTCGTTAAAATGTAAAGGGGAAACTTAAAATACAATTAACGGCGATATCATTGGAATAAAACGAGATTTATACTTAGATAAGATACAGGAACACGCAGATAAGGAAGGAAAAGTTGAGAAATACAAAAGAAAATTCAGTGACATGGTCACACAACGCCCAAGGAAAAGGCTTCATTCGATTGAAAATTAATGATGACCCCTAACGGGAACACTCCTTTATCTTCAGTTCATCAAGAAATTCTTCACCATTTATGGAACCTAAGGGTCCACTAAAGAG